CATTGTAACCTCTGCCTCCCAGGTTTAAGTGATTCTCCTGCCTCAGCCTCCTGAGTAGCTGGGATTACAGGTGCCTGCCACCATGCCTGGCTAATTTTTTGTATTTTTAGTAGAGACATGGTTTCACCTTGTTGGCCAGGCTGGTCTTGAACTCCTGAACTCCTGATCTTGTGATCCGCCCGCCTCGGCCTCCCAAAGCAATGGGATTACAGGTGTGAGCTACCACGCCCAGCGTGATTTACTTTTCCTAAACAGATTCTTATTTGTGGAATTTTAAAGAATGACGTTATGTAACAAAAGCAATCTGATGCCATTCTTCTAATTACCTAGGCTCAGCCCTCTAAGGGATTGATTCTCAACTTCAGCATGAACCAGGACTTGTTACACAGACTGTTGGGATCCATCACCTGAGTGATTGACTCAGGACATCCAGGGTGAGGGTGAAAGAGGGGGAACATAATTTGCATGCTGCTAGTGCGGGGATCACACTGTTCCAGGGTTATCGTTGAATTTTCCCTATTGCTTGCCTTTCACATCCATGTTGACACCAAGGCTTATTCTTCTTATATTCTCTATCTTTCCCTTTCATTTCCATTCCATTATTTGACTTCTGTTTTTTCTCTTGATGGAAGGGGGCAGACAGGAGGACTGCTTTGTTCCCTGACAGGATGGTTTGTTTTTTTCTTGAATTCTGTTGCTTCCAAACATGCTCTTAATTCTTAGTTTCCTTTCTCACAACTTTTATGAAGCTGCATTAAGTGAATGAAAGAAATTTCTAGAGGTAATGAAGTCCTACCGTGGTTTGTTTAGCAGTTGATAAAGAGTATTTAGATGAGGAATTTTATTTTACTCTTATAAAAATTGTTAAGAAATAAAAATATCCTTGTTATGAAGAATATTCAAGAGAAAGCCAAGGAGTATAACATAGTTTCAGCATTTAAATTCCGAAGAGGAAGGGCACATATCAAATGTGTATTATTCAAAGACAAGAAATAGAGCAAAGAAACTCAGTGTCTCCTGGGTGGTAGGGGCAAAAAGTAATAATGATGAGGATTTTTTTTTTTTTAAATTAAGTAACACTTTGCCTCTTCTGAAAAACTCTCACATGGATCATACGTTTAAAACTACTCAAAAGGCAGAAAAAAAAATCATTTCTATTTTAAACTCAAAGAAACTGAGGGTTATGAAATCAACGGACTCATTGAAGGACACATAGCCCTTTAGAAGAAACAAAACTGGATCCAAATCATCTAATCCCAATACAATAATCTTTCATTTATGCCTCCACTTAAAATTTCTGCGTTACATTCACTATGAAATATGATTTATAATTAAAGCTTCCTTGATTCTTAAAGGTAGAGCCTAGCTCCAAAATCAATATGACATGCTACATCTTTGTCTCAAATATTTGTTATTATTATTTTTTGAGACAGAGTCCTGCTGTGTTGCCTGGGGTGGAGTGCATTGGTGTGATCTCCGCTCACTGCAGCCTCTGCCTCCTGGGCTCAAGTGATCTCCCCACTTCAGCCTCCCAAGTAGCTGGAACTATAGGCATGCAGCACCATGCCTGGCTAATTTTTATAGTTTTTGTAGAGCTGGGGTCTTGCCAAGTTGTCCAGGCTGGTCTCAGACTCTTGGGCTCAAGTGATCCTCCCACCGTTTCCTCCCAAAGTGCTAGGATTACAGGCATGAGCCACCATGCCTGGCTTCAAACACTTTCTTTCAATAATGTGGAATATTAACATAGAGCAGTACAAAATTGTAATTAGAATCTGAATCTTAGAATTGATGCTCTTCAGGTTTTTTTTTTTTTTTTTTTTTTTTTTTTTTTTTTTTTTTTTTTTTTTTTTTTTTTTTTTTTTTTTAGAGATGGGTACCCAGGTTGGCCTCTAAAATCCTGGGCCCACGAGACCTTCCTGCCTCAGTTTCCTGAGTATCTGGGACCATAGTTGTGTATCATCACACACAACTTATCTCTGCAGTTGTTGAGAGCAAGTACCATCTATATTAAACTTTGGAGATACTGAATTGCTAAACCAGTCACTCTGCAGATCTATTGGTTTGCATAGTAGCTGTGATGGAGAAAACCCAAATTTGTTATTTCTTTTTAACTTTGTCAAGCTTTATTTCTTTTTAGGATCCTTTTGGTTAGAGTATGGGTGGGAACACTGAGTCCAAACCTACTCTTGGAAATATCTCCGTGCTCTCTAGAATCTTTCTATACTAACATTTGGACATTTTGCTCTGAATTTTTATCACTTCCACTAGGCTCTTGGAAAGTTGTGAGGCTCCTCTTTTTTTTAAAATGTTTTCCCCAGACATTGTAAAGAACTTTGTTTGGAAATGTGAGCTACAATGAATTCAGGTCTTGAATTATTTCCACATGTTCCAGCTGTCATGCCTTTTGAAAATCTAGACCAATTGTTCTAAAAATTTGTTAGGTTAGGGGCCCCTTCAGTTAGATAAAAGTCTGGAAAGACAGGATTTCCAAACTGCCACTGCCAAATAATTCTGGAATAAAAGGGAAGAGCATTACTTCTTTTAAACTGGGTGCCTGATTGATATATGATTTTCAGATGGGGCTATATTATACACACCATTACAACAACATTCATAACTTACTGAAGATGCTCAGAATTTACTAGAGAACTGAAGTCCACACTTTAAGCATAACTCAGGTTTATAAAATAACTCTACCTATAGCTTTTACATCTATAATGTCTGAGTGTACAAATCCTTTGCTGGTTTTCTCATGCCCAAATCTAGTTATCTTGGTTAACCAGAGAATCCTTTGGTGAATCCATTGGAGAAATGTATTTATACATCAAGAAGATACTTTTTGGTAGTACACTGAAAATTTTACATTACAAATTTAAAGCCTTATTTCACTATGTGATCTAATAGAATGTGTGAATTTTATATCTGATAGGTCTACTTGAAGAGATGTACAGAGGGGAGAGTAGGTATGCTTATGGATCCAAGAACAGCAAAGTCAACTTTGGCTAAGGAGACACTTTCACAAATGGTCCTTCCTATATCCCTCCTGAGGATCCTTTTTAATGCCTTATAAATCAGCTATCTGGGGGAGGAAAGGATATACACTATGTGATAGCACTCTACAAATCATAAGTTGCTCAAAATAAACACATTACTATTTGATTAATTCACCTAATAATGGTGATACCCATACCACATGAAAAATTTCTTGTGATTGACCTCAGGTTATTAGTGCATTCACATTTATCCCAAATAAACATAGTGACTTACCACTACCCAATTTCTTCCTAAATTTAGTAGTGAGTCACTTTATTTATTGGGAAATGTGAATACTGTGATCCTGAAAAACTGATTCTCATAAAAGTACGCACATTAATGTACATAATGTCCTGACTTAAATAACACTGCAAAGAAGGCAAAGTTTATCTTAAGCAATGTTCCATTTCAGTTGTACAATTCCAAGTCTGATGCCTTGCCTCCATCTCTGTTGTTTTCTTTCCCTTCAGTCCTCAATCTAAACTTTGCTGTTTTATGCCCTGTCTCTTGGATTCCTACTAGCTGATCTGGGAAACAAGGTTGTTTTGACAAACTAATTTGTTTTCATGTAACAGAATTCAAGCATATAACTTTTCCCTGGTAAATTATTCATCATTTAATAGGGGTATTCTGAGGCACAGTGACTCAAGCCTATAATCTCAGAACTTTGGGAGGCTGAGGCAGGCCGATGGCTTGAGCTCAGGAGTTTGAGACCAGCATGGTCAACATGGTGAAACCATATCTCCACAAAAAATAAAAAAAATTAAATGGGTGTGGTGGCATGCGCCTGTAGTCCCAGCTACTTGGTAGGCTGAAGTCGGGGGATTGCTTGAGCTGGGGAGGTTGAGGCTGCAGTGAGCCAAGATCATGCCACTGCACTTCAGCCTGGGCAACAAAGTGAGACCCTGTCTCATCAAAAAAAAAAAAAAAAAAAGAAAAGAAAAAAAGAATTTCAAATATAATTATCATTACTGTTGTAGGTATACTTAGGTCCAAGAGAATCTATGTGAAATCACAATCGCTTAGGTTGTCACTTATATGGAGGCACATCGATGGAATGCCCAATTTTATGGGAATTCCATATCTCTGTCCCATTATGGAGCTAGGAAAAAGGACTGGCTGAGAGGTCAGGAGATCTTAGCTCTGGAATCACAGAATCCAGGGATGAAACACGATCTTATCTTGTTAACTGAATCCTGTGTACAAAATTCCTAAAAATATTCATCCATTCTCTTCTTGAATGCCTCTAATTATAGAAATGCACTCAATTTAAAAGTAGTCTCTCTGATACTAGGGCAGGTTTTGATTGTTAACAAGCTTTTTCTTTTATTTAGTGGAAAGCATCTCCTGATAGCATCCAATCATTGGTCTAGTTCTACCTTTTGGAGCCAAACTATACCAACTGAATGTCTACGCCTCTTAACCATCTTAATAATAGCTACCACTTATAGAGCACTTATTATGTGTGAAGAACTACTCTAAAGACTTCACATAATTATTCTCAAGACAACACTACAAGGAAGGTGTATCAGTATTATTTTCATTTTATAGACAAGGAAACTGAAGTGTAGAAGGTGACAAGGTTTAGTAGTGGCTAAACCTGAATTCAAAGCCAAGCCATCTTGCTCTAGAGCTCGAGCTCTTCCTGACTACAATATGCTGCCTCCGAAACACAAATACTTGAATATGGCTTATGTGATGCCTCAAGTCTTCTGTTCGGCAGTCTGGACATCCCTAGGACATCCTTTCTCCATAAAGCGTTTCTGTGATGGTGTCTCTTGGTGGCAGGGTGCTTTGTTCTTATGATGGGAGGAACATAGTTGGGGCTTTTAGAAGAGGCTTTGGTGGGGTCTCTTTAGAATCTGAAATGATGACCCCAAACCTTCCCTTCAACCTGCTCTCTTACCTTGCCTTCCCATAGACCCCTTAGCCCCTGCTGCCAGGCTTCCGGGGAGGGCGGCACTCACCTGTGTGTACGAACATGTGCTTGACGTAGTTCTGTTTGGCGGTGAAAGTCTTGTTGCAGAGAGTGCACTCATAAGGCTTTTTTTCGCCTTGCCCACTGGCTGTGCTGTGGCCTGCGGATGAGGCCAGGGGCTGTGGCGCTGGCAGCTGTGCAGTAAAGGTCGACAGGCCGGGCTGGGACACTGTCACAAACTGGGTCTGCTGGCCTGCCAGGGGCTGTGGCAGGCTGAAGAGGAAAGGCTTGGGGCCGCTGCCCGCAGGCTGGGTAGTGAAGAGGGCTGGCAGGTAGGTGTTGCCAGCTGTGCCAATGACCTGTGTGTTGCTGGTCAAGGTCAGAGGCATCCTCAGGTTGCTGGTGAGGGTTTCTGTCTGGCGTAAGTAGAGCTGGGTACTTGGCAATGGCTGCCCGATGGACGTGCTGACCGAAGGCTGTTGCAGGACGCTCTTGTCGGAGCTGTTGCTGACAGTGATAACTGTGCTGTCCATCTCCACTTCATTGCCTCTCTCCGGAGAGGAAGTGCCTGTGTCTAGCTGGTTTGGCTGCGGACCACCTTCGGCAGGGGCTTCTGCAGCCTGCTCGGGTTGGGCGGGTTCAGCTTGGCTGTCCCGCGCCGCCCCAGGCCCAAACTGCTGCTCCACCGAGTCAGGCTCAGTGCCTATGGAGGAGCTGACGCCCGAGTCGAAGCTTTCACCTTTGGGCTCACTCTCGGTACCCTCGGCCTGGTCAGTGTCTTCCGTGCACTCCTCGGATTCGTTGCGCTCCAGGATCTGCACCCTTTGCTGCCCGTAGTAGTCATAATCGTCCTCCATCTCCTGCTTGATGTGGATGTTGCCCACTAGGGTCTGGATGCGCACAGGCCGGGGCTGCTTGCGGCAGTGCGTGGTCTCGGGGGTGGTGGACAGGTAGCGTTCCATCTGCTGCGAGCGCTCGTGGATGCGTGTGATCCAGCTGGGGTCTTCCATGTGGTGGTCGCGGGGCAGGCCGAGCGCGGTCTCGTGGTGGCTGACCACTGCGCCGCTGTAAAAAGAGCGCTCGCCACTGCCATTCTGCATGGAGCACGCATAGAGTGCCGAGTAGATCCTGTCCACGCTGTGCTGTGGGTGGCTCTGCAGGTAGCCAGATTCCGTGTCGCTGCTCTGGCCTGACGTGCCTGACTCGGGCGTGCCCCGCGGCGTGTCCTGGCCCGAGTCCTGGATCCCCGGGAACACATCGCCCACATTCTGTGACACGATGCGCGTGCACTCGTCGATGACTGTTTTGATTTGCAGGATGCTGGCGGCGGTGAGGATCTGCAGAGCTTCCGACTGCGAGACCCGTAGCACGCCGCTGTACATGAAGTCAATGAGCTTTTGCACTGACTGCACCGACACCACCGACGGGATCTCGATGTCGCTGTAGCCAAGCAGCAGTTTGTCCTGGAAGAAGGGGCTGCCGGCTGCCAGCACGCAGCGGTGTGCGCGCAGCATGCTCCCGTGGATGCGCACCGTTACGTCACAGAAGTGGCCACGGTTGCGCTGCTCGTTGAGGGTCTCGAGCACGGAATTGCTGAAGTTGTGAAGGTTGATGCTGTGAATGCGCTCGGTCATCCCCTTGCAACTGATGTCACCTGCAGCATGTCAACGCAGACACAAAATAGGGCATGAGTCAGATCTAGTTGGCTGCATTCCTAACACCTAGGTTTCAGGTGAGTAATGGTCATGGCTCCTAGAAGCACCGCCCTTACATAGGCAAGCAGGGAGATGGACAGGCTGTGGCATACAAGCAGCAGGTATGATGGCCTAAGGGAATAGGGCCTTGAATTTTGCTCCAATTCCGGTCTTAGTGGTGCAGCAATTTTGGGCATCCATATTAATTCCCCAGAGCTGCAGCTGAGGTAGAGAGGCCCAATAACAAAATGGTTGGTTTGCCTGCTACTCCTAAAGCAAAGAACTGAAAGGTAAATGAAGACTTGTTCTTATGAACACTCTACCTCCACTTTATGTTTATTTATGTATTTATTTACTTTGCCTCCACTTTAGACAGGCCCAAGCCTAGGTCCCTTGGGAAAGTTTACATCTCACCCAACTTATCAAAGTCCCTTATTTTATTTATACACAGTGACCACATTCATAGTTAACAAACAACCCCCCTCCTATTAAGTTATATGGCGTATTATCAAAACCTACAACACGTATGCAAAAATTCTTGGAAAATTCAACGCAGACTAAGATGTCTACCAAACAGTCACTACCATGTTTTCCAGATGATTGATAGGCTACAGAAAGCAATCTGCTAGTTAAAGGGGCACTCCACGGCTTTCTCTATCTACTCATTCTTCTTGGTCGTCTCTGACAACCTGTTTGAGCACTTTCTAGGGTGGCTGCATGTGATATAGATGGTTTTCTGAATTTTCTGAGGCTTAATGAAGAAGGAATGTTAAAAAGGTCAGAGATGGCAGTTCTTACCCAGGAGACTAGAGTACCTTGGTGATCATATCTATTATTCAAATGTGGCACTTTCAAGAGTGAAAGGGAACATTGTTAATAATTAGGCCAGGATAGCAGGAGTAAACCAGGAGTGGGATATACGATCTCCTTGGGTAATAGGGTGCTTCATGTACTTGCCTCAGGGAAGTATTAAACAGCTCCCAGGGGGAAGGCAGCAGCTACGTGGAGGCTGCAGATAGCCTGACCCAGCACCACTCCTATACTGTAGGCTGTATGACAAGGGATAATGTTGATAAGATTTGGATTCAGAATGAGAAACAAAACAGGTGGCTATAGCAGTAGGTCTTAGGGCTTTATTAGTTTTCTAGCTCACCTCTAGGATGGCTCTAGAGAATCGCCCTCCAAATAATGCTTCAATCAGATTCCCCCTTCTTGCCTTTACAACTAAACAATCAGCTAGGGAAAATGAAACAAGTGAGCTTTCAAAACCAAATGGCCCAAGCACTGATTGTTGGCCTGTGGCCCAAATCTCTCTGTCTTGTGAGAAGCCACCTGAGAGGTAACAGCCTTCAGATGGGAAGAAGGCCTGCCTCCTCACAATCTTTCTGCTCTACATGGGGATAGAAGACTTGTTCAGGAAACTGAATTCAGTGAACTTTTCTACCTTGCTTCACTCAATCACCCTCACATGGTATGAGCTTAACTTAATAAATGTTCAATAATACAATTTGCGCTAATTTGTGTAAGAACATTCTTTCTTCTTCTGACTCTATCATGTCTGTTATATGCCTAAAATATTGTATTAGGGTACAGATTCCATCATTTTAACTGATGTAAGATAAGTTCTCTTTAGCAGATTAAAAAGTTAAGGTGAATCTCCTGTAACTGTGTTAATACAAAGTATGGCCCTAAAGGAAGGCACACATAACCCAGGAAGGGCTGTTCAGGAACTCAATCAGCAGCAGACCAAATTTCAAGTTCTTGCTGAGTTCACCATACAGACATACCACAATAGTAATCACAAGATAACTTTTTTTAGGGGTTACTGTTCTAACTGCTTTATGTGTATGATTTCATTTAATTTTCACAGCAACCATGGGGAGTAGATGATGTTATTCCCATTTTATAGGTGAGGAAACTGAGGCCAGAGAAATTAAGCAACTTGCTCAAGTACACACAGGCAATTGCTGGTAGACTAGCATTTAAACTCAGGCAGTCTGGCTCTAGAGTTCACCCTCTTAACTGCTTCACTGTATTGCATAGTTTGCCCCTGAATGAGGTCTGGCCCTTAAGGATCCACGGCTCTGTTGTAAAGCTGTGTGAAAGGCTTTGCCCAGTACTACCTCCAGCTACTTTTACACCTATCCATGACTTAGCATGGTTTTCATGTTTCTAGGCTGTGATGCTTCGACATAGCCTCAGTCAGCAAACCTAAATAATTTATTATTATTATTATTATTATTATTATTATTATTGAGACAGGGTCTCTCTCTGTTGCCAGGAACCAGGCTGGAATGCACTGGCACGATCTTGGCTCACTGCAACCTCTGCCTCCCAGGTTCAAGCAATTCTCTTGCCTCAGCCTCCTGAGTAGCTGGGACTACAGGCACATGCCACCACTCCCAGCTAATTTTTGTATTTTTTAGTAGAGATGGGGTTTCACCATGTTGGCCAGGATGTTCTCAATCTCTTGACCTCATGATCCGCCTGCCTCAGCCTCCCAAAGTGCTGGGATTACAGGCGTGAGCCACCACGCCTGGCCAAGAACTTATATTTTTATACGTCATGATGCAAGAAGTAAAACAACTATTTTGGCACTATGATGTGTAATTTTCTATATACAATTTTACTATCACCAAGGTCTCTTTCATATAAGTAAAACAGTAAGTGGTAAAACTGGTTGTGTCTGTGATCACCTCTTTGTAGGATGGATTTATTACATTTTTTTCTACACAACTGAAAACACTCTTTTAACACACATTTGCTCATCGCACTAGTTACAGCAATAACACTAGAGATGTCATATATGATAGAGTTTTCTTTCAGATAATTCTGGGAAATTCTAGCCCTATCACAATGATCATAATAATTAGTATCCATGTAGTGTTTGACAGTGTATACAACTCTTTTACATGTAACATCTCATTTATTCCTTACAACAATCCTATATGTGTTCCGGACAGGTTTTTTTTTTTTTTTTTTGAGTCTTGCTCTGTTGCCCAGGTTGGAGTGCAGTGGCACAATCTCAGGTCACTGCAACTTCCACCTCCTGAGTTTAAGAGATTCTTATGCCTCAGCCTCTCGAGTAGCTGGGATTACAGGCGTGTGCCACCACACTTGGATCATTTTTGTATTTTTAGTAGACGGTGTTGCACCATGTTGGCCAGGTTGGTCTCTAACTCCTGACCTCAAGTGATCTGCTCGCCTCGGCCTCCCAAAGTGCTGGGATTACAGGCATGAGCTACCATGCCTAGCCCTTCAGGATAGGTCTTATTATTACTATTTCATATAAGAGAAAGTTGAGGCTCTCAAAATGTTTAAATGACTTGCCCAAAGTTTTACACAGTAGCAAGTGGCAGGATTGGGTTTAGAACCTATGCCTCTTAATGCTTTTTCCACTGCGTAACAGTGGATCACTGAGGAATGAAACTTGAAGTGCCCAAAGATCAAGAGTTATCTTAATTCTCAGTAGAAAAAAAGAAAGATGCTGAAAGTAATGACGAAGGTTGCTTTAGAGATGAGAAGTGAACATACATAATCACACAAACACACAATTTCATGAGAAAAACACAAACTGTTTGGCCAGACTGGATTGCAAATTTAGTTCATCTAAACAATCAAGTTATCTACTAAATAGTCTGAGTTAGACTATTGCGATAATATTGCCACCAACTTCATTAAAAACCACAGAGACAAACTTAAACCTGCACACGTACACAACCTGGCCTGAAATGCCTGGTCGAATTTTGTAGACACAATTCTTAAATATCTCCCTGAGTACACTGGCCCCACACTGCAGTGAACAGCCATGAAAAGCTGAATCGTTTTTGCTGATATGAGTACAGATGCAAAGGGGGACCCTGCCTCCCCATTCAAGCACACCTCATTCCTCCAGCACACAATGCTGAGGCAATTCCTTTCCCAGGCTTTCTTTTATTTTTAACACTAATACAGTGGGAAAAAGTTTCTGCCACAGCAAGGCAAAGTCCAGGCTTTTGTGAGCATGTCCTTTTCATCCAATGGGCATTAATGTATAGATTCCAATGGAATAAATCTGAAATACTCTACTGTAGAAGATTTGTCCCCCATTGAAAACAAATCTTGATTAGATGGTTATTCACGGAGTGTATAGGAAGGAATGGTGTGAAAATGCTAACTCTATTCTTTCTTAGATTGGCACTGAATAGGCATTTGGGCTATTCAAAAAAAAAAAAAAAAAAAAAAAAAAAAAAAAAAATAAAAATTATAAAGTTGACAAAAAACAAAAAAAAAAAAAAAAAAAAAAAAAAAAAAACCCAAACCTCAACCCTATCAACTGTACAAAACCGAAAAACTTTACATAGATTATGTGATTATGTGTATTTGGGGATCCTCCCCACCCGAAATAAAAAATGCACAGTGTTATGAACACAGAACTAATGGCAAAATGAAAAAGTGATAAAAATAGTTCTCTGTTTTAAAATAATAACCTACCTCCTTTTCACTAGAGTAAAAATATAGAGTCAGCCTGTGATGGCATTTACTGGAAACATGGAAGGAATTGCAGTAATGAAAGTCATCATGTATTCTAAGTGACTGTTCTGTGAGAGCACAACGCAGACAGGGCTCCAGCAGGGGTGAGTACTGAAGAGAAAATCTGCCTGTGGGGAATTGGGGATAGAGGGCCTGACTCTCTGTTTTGCAGGAACCTTGCTCCTGCCTGTCCCTTAAGCTGCAGGGGTCCAGGGATAGGACTTAGCATGAGAATAAAAAGCTGCCTGCTCACAAGAGAAAATGAGCAAGAAAGGAAACAGCAGGCAATACAATCTCTTTTAATTAGGTGTGAAATCCAGTCCTTTCTCAATCAGGAGAGCAAAAGGATATATAAAATGAGTCTAGTGCAAGGGTAAGATGCTATAGAGGGGGATGGGGATTTAAAGTCTCTGGACTTGGAAGGAAACACCAGCTCTCAAATGAAAAC